GATAGAGTACCTAGGCTTAGAGTCAGGAAGGCTCATGTTCCTGAGTTCAAATCTGGCCTCAGACACTTACTAGCTGTATGCCTGGGCAAGTCACTTAACCCTGATTACCTCACTTTCCTCATTTATAAAATGAGCTGGAGAAGGAAATGGCACCTTCCCCAAATAACAGGGAATATCCACACTGATAAGATCACAAAGCCATCAAAATACTAAAGACAATGGAGTAGCCTGAAACAGCATGGTGTGCACCCATGGCCCATCTGTGAGCAATCCCTAAAAGTAAAGGTATATAAAAAACTTGCATTAGGCCAAGAACTTTTGGAAGTCCTTCACCTACCAGGAGAAAAATTCTAAGGGACTCCACATGTGACATGGGGCCTCCTCACTTCCTCTACTAGAAATCTGTGACCTTCAAAGTCTCAAACACTGTTTGCAGCAATTGTGGTCTTTGACACCCCTGATGGAAGTAAAGCAATATGATGATACCTTAACCACTGTATTTGCAAACCTGTGGCATTTATCAACGCAAAATCAACATGAGGCACAGTCAAGGGAAATCCCCATGCATGAACAAAGGGTAATAATGCTCGCTGGGACAGAGGAAGCAAGGTTCTGGAAGGAAGAATAGCATAATCTAAAGGTCAGATCAAGGCCAATTAGATACATGACTATGGAGCACTGATGTCCAATGAGTAATGAGCAGGTGAGTCAGTTATAAGACTGAGAGAGGTAAAAAAACAGAGGAATATGCCCAAAGCTTAGGAGACCAAAATAAAAAGCATACCAGGAGATACACATTGTTTAAACAAAAGCTGCTTCCAGAAAACTTAGAGCTTTTTGTTCCAGAGGAGTGTGCCCCAATACAGCAGACATTAATGGTGATGCCAATGCCCCGTATGATCTTTGGCAGTCCCCCTCTTCCTACTGCCAAAGTTCAACAACTTGCCCACAGTCACCCAGGAGTGACTACCTCCGATAAATCAAGGGCTTGTACATTGTCTACCATCACTAAAATGACAAATTACTGGGATAAGGGTAAATCTGTGAAATAAACCAGTACCAGTGCCATCCAGAGACAAAATAAAATGGAAAAGGATTTCAACAGGTCTTCCCAAAGGTTTCTTTTCCCAGGAATATATTTCACAAGACCGAAAATATTGGAAAAATTACATCATGATCTACAACCATGTAAGGTGAAGACACCTCATGCAAGGTTTTGAACAGTCCCACGTGGTCTGTTTTCAGACAGTATTTGGCAGAGACAAATCATTGTCTATGAAGTGTCATCGGGGGCATGTATTTGTGTGAGTTGAGGTGCAAGGATCAATCAACATATACTATTCTTCAAGTTTGGGTGCTCCAAATAAATGTAGACTGAAGCTGCTGGTGGTGGATCACAACTAGGAGGTCTGGTTGAGGTTGAGTTGTTATAAAAATCTATGATCCAGCACTTAGCTTAGTTCCTGGCACATAGTAGGCACTTAATAAATGTTGGTTGATTGATTGATTGTTGTGAGAGTGGGGCTTCATCCACCAAGTGTTCAAATTCTGGTTTTTGCAGGTCCGTCAGCCTGAAGATTATTCTCCCATGGCATGTAAGTTCTAGTAAAGTTGAACCTAATAAAAACTTATTTTTTGGTTTGGTTTTTGGACTGGACCAGTGATTTAATTGTAGGTAATACCGAGTAAGGAAACTAGCTCTACCAGTACAAGTCACCACCTGCTCTGCAAATTCTAGTCTTTGAGAGGGATCTGAGGCACTGAAGAGATTAGTAGTTTTCCCATAGTCACACAGCTAGTATGTGTCAGAGTTAAGCCTTGAACCTAGGTCAGAGGGTATTAGATTCATAACTCAGAGAACCTTAGGGTCCATCAAGCCCCACCCTCATTTTGCAAATAAAGAAACTAAGGTAGAGAGAGGTGAAGCAATTTTCTCAGGGTCACACAGCTAAGAGTCTGAGACAAGATTTGAACCTAGGTCTTCCTAATTCCAACAATAGCTCTTTAACTATTACACCATTTTGCTTCTAATTAAAAAAGAAAATACCCAGCAAAGCTGACATTGTTAGAACTACTAGCTGATCTAACAATGATGTTGTAGGTCAAGGAAAACAGCATTGAGATGCCACATTCACTCAAAATGATGCTCACTCAGATGTGGCCCATAACTCCTCCTGTTTGGCGTGGTTCTTTATGACCAATTTGTGGGACACAGCTAACGTTTGGGGGAGGGCAGGCAGCAGGATCTGTGGGAGTACAGCTATTACTGCAGTGTCATAAGCACTGCTCTGATGAACTGCGTTAAAGAAAATCGAGCCTTCCACCCAGAAAATTATGCTTAGAAACAAGACATCTTGCGCATTTGTAAGGAAGAAAAACCAAGAGGCTAAGATTTAGAATTCTGTCCCCAAGGACTAAGTTTCACAGAGAGGGCTTTTTATACCGCTTATGCAGACATAAAAGTGTTATCAATTTAAAACCATTTACAGCTTACAGAGGAGCCAGGCACAGCATATCTCCAAAGGAAAGGAGCATCAAAGAAGATGTAGCATTCATTTTTTTTTTGTAAGATGTAGCATGCTTTATTTCCAGGAACTATTTCACATTCCTGTGATTAGAAAGGTCTTACAGAGTTAGGACAAATACTCTTTTAAATCCAAAATAACATTTTGGATGCCTGAGGCCATCTGCCACTGCCTCAGTTAAGAATTAATTCTTGGGGCAGCTACGTGGCACAGTGGATAGAGCATGTGTCCTGGAGTCAGGAAGACCTAAGTTCAAATCCAGTTTGAGACACTGGCTAGCTGTGTGACTCTGGGTAAATCATTTAACTTCTGTTTGCCTCGGTTTCCTCATCTATAAAATGGGAATAAAAACAGCACCTAGCTCCCAGGGTTGTTGTGAGGATCAAATTATATAGTATTTGTAAAGTGCTTAGCACAGAGCCTGGTACATTTGTTGCTATTCAGTCATTTCAGTTGTGTTGTGACCCCATTTGGGGTTTTCTTGGCAGAGATAATGAAGTGGTTTGCCATTTCCTTCTCCAATTCATTTTTATAGATGAGAAAATGAGGCAAACAGGGTCAAGTGACTTGCCCAGGGTCACACAGCTAGTAAGTGTCTGAGGCCAGATTTGAACTCATGAAGATGAGTCTTCCTGATATCAGGCCTGGCACTCTGTCAACTGCATCACCTAGCTACCTGCCTGGCACATAATGAGCAGTATATATGTGTTAGCATTTATTATTTTTCAACTTTATCAATTGTCTCTGTGAGTCCAAATATATCAAAGTCCAGATGACTAAGGTAAGCTGGTTCTTCTGATCATTAAATGGCTTTCCCCTTCCAGTGTTCACTAGAAAACTTTTGGGAGTTTCAGCAGGACAGTGACAGACAATGTCAGACTTCCTTGAAGGCCTTGAAGCAGTATGGACGCTGGATGACAACTTCTCAGATACAGAGAGAAGTCATTTTGAGTATGGGTTGGACAGGATAACTGCTGAAATCTCTTCCAACCCTTCTGTGAATCTGTGATTGGTGCACTTGGCAAACCAGCTGCTGAGGTGTAGCCTAGGGTAAGAAATGTGCCCAGAATGGAGCATGAATGGAAAGTTAATCCTATGTATAGAGTGATTAGTGGTGCAAGTAAACAGTAGAGGGTGTTTAGAGAGGGACGTGAAAGTGAGAGCTAAGAGCCTGTGAGTCAGTGCAAGTATTTGTGGGTGTTTTTTCAGGTATGAATCCTTAGGCAATTTGAGGTATATTTAGGGTGAAATCCCTGGATGTTTATGGGTGTTTGGGAGTGTGGTTCTACAAAGACTTTAGCTTATTCCTTAGGATGAACCTCAATTTATAAACCAAGAGGAAAGTGAAGATTGGGACAGGATGCAGAGGCATGCACCTCAGACCATGCATCTAGCTAGCAGGCTCGGGTGTGTGATTTATCCCAGTGCTAGTCCCTATGGAGATATTCTAGCCTCTGCATTTGCACCATCAACCCACATTCCTGAAATGGTGACTCCCTTGGCTCCGCCTTTCAGAATCCTTATCCACTTTGAAGACTGAGATCAAGTACTTTCCTGTGTGGAGAACCTTACCTGATTCCTTTAGTTTCTAAAGTCCTTTCCCTCCTCAAATAACCTTATCTGTGTACTGTGGATTTATCTTTACCTATGGACGGTTTGTTATTTCTCCCAATTAGATAGCAAACTTCTTGAGGACAAGTACTATTTCATGTTTTCCTTGATGTCCCCACTGCATAGGCACAGTGCTTTACACATGGAAGATATTGAATAAATGTTTGTTGAATTGAATGTGAGGACAGTGATGACGAACTGGCAAATTCAATATCTGAATGGCCCAGTCCTGAACCTGCAACGATGTTTATGCAGGAATAAGAAAGCATGGTGGGGGCATAAGAGGAAGAGAAGTGCATGGTTGGGGCACAGTTGATGCAGAAGCATGGGACCAGGATGTGAACGTTAGTGTGAGTGGGGCCATGCCAGTGTGCATGCCTGAAAGCAGAAGAGCACAGGATAAGATTAGGAAGAAGCTAAATGGTTCAGTGTGGTTGCCAACTCGAGTGTCTGAGGGCACTAATGAGAAACGAAGTAGGACAGGTAGGTTGGAATCAGATTTTGGAAGGACTTAAGAGTCTGAATAAGGAATTTGTAGTTTATCCCGAGGTTTATAAACAGGAAGCCAGCCAATGAAGGATTCTGAACATGAAAATGGCATCAATTAATCAATCAAGCAATTATTAAGTTACCACTACTGGGATGTGGGGCCACAAATACAAAGAAGGCAAAGATCTGCTCTTACAAGCTCACGTTCTAACCCGTTCTAACCCGCAGGACTACAGTACAAATTCACCAGCGTCATCTGAGGCTCAAGGTTTATTTGCATAAGTCTCTCCTCATTGGTCCTCTTTGAGAACTCAGGACCAACAACAATAGTCCTCATTGGTGGAGATGCATCAGTGAAGGCTCTGCCCTGTGCGAGGGGCGCAGTGGGCGACAGCTGAGAAGAGAGAGTCTGGGGAAGACCCTGGCTTCCCACCTGCTCCCGGATTCCGGATTCTCTTCAGGGAGAGGTCCTTACCTGAGGAAAGTGACTCTGGAAAGAAGCCAACATCTAGAACTGAAAGTCGAACCTTTTTCTATCCCCCGGCGTCCTATACGAGAGACTTCGAGGACCTAGAGGTCCTCAAGTGCGGCGGGCGCACTGGACCTAGAGGGCCAAATGTGGCTTTGGGGCCGCGAGTTCCCCACCCCCCCCCTGCAGCACTTGAGGACCTAGAGGGCCACATGTGGCTTGGGGTCCGCAGTTTCCCCACCCCTGCCCTAAGGGCTAAACAACCTCCCACAGGTGTGGAGCATTGAGGGATCAGTCTCCACCAAGAGGACATTCCTATGGCCATGAGGTGAGGCTTCTTTGAGATGGGGGTTACACAAGCACATAAAGAGGAAATTTAAAAAGAATGACTACCGGTGGTTAAATACGACGTAGTTTGGGAGGAGGGAAGGTGGGCAGATGCTAGTGGTTGAGGCAAACAGGAAAAGGCTTCACGTAGAGTAGTAATAGCTAACATTAACATAGCAAGCACCTACACTAAGGACTTTACAAATATTACTCATTTGATCCTTGAAATAACCCTGGGAGGTAGGTGCTATTATTATCCTCATTTTACAGATTAGGAAACTGAGGTTAAATAAACATGTACAGTGTCATACCGCTAGTAAGTGTCTGGGGCTGAATTTAAACTCAGGTATCCTTGACTCCAGGCCTGTTCATTGCACCACCAAGAAGGTAGTGTTTGAGTTCATTTTGACAGAGGTTTTTGTTTTTTGTTTTTGTTTTTTTTCTAAAGGCAATAGGAAGCCACAGAAATTTCTAGAATACGGGAATGAAGTGGTCAGACCTGTGCTTAAGGATTGTCATTATTTTAGTAGTTGTGTGAAAGGTGCACTAAAGGGAGGAAACTGTATGTAAGGACTTTTGCTTCAGAAGTTGTCTAGGGCAGTGGTCTCCAAGTTTTTTGATTATATAACCCGTAAGTAAAACTTTTTTTTGCACACACACACATACTGCATATATATGTGAATTTACTTATTCACAAGTTATGTACATGTGCTACTGCACTAATAATTATGGACATTATACAACTTTCATCAGAAAAAGTGGAAACTAAAAAGTGATGAGTTGATATTTGATCTTAGAGGCGATAGGGAGCCACTGGAGTTTAGTGTTAAAGTTTAGATGAAGGAGCTCAAGGAGCATCTGGTTAACAGGTACGGTGAATTTTTCCTTTAAGAAATGGAAGAATGGGGCAGCTGGGAGCCAAGATGGCAGAGAAAAGGGAGGGGCTTGCCTGAACTTTCCTCAAAACTCCCTCAAATAACTTTAAATAATGCCTCAAAACAAATTCTGGAATGGCAGAACCCACAAAAGGATGGGGTGAAACAGTTTTCCAGCCCAAGACAACTTAGAAGATCAGCAGGAAAGATCTGTTGCACCAGGGTGAGAGTGGAGCAAAGGCCTTGCCCCAGCAAATGCCTTTGGGGTGACTGAATCAGTGGCTGCAATGGTGGCTTCTGGAGCCTTCAGCCCACAGAAGTTAAGGGGGGGTTGGAAAACTGGTCAGAAGAAGATTACAGGGGTCATTTTGCTGGCATTGGAGGCATGACTCTTGCATTGTCCATACTCTGATTTGGATCCCAGGCCCAGAGTGAAGAGGAGCGCTAGCACACCAGAGCTTGTAGTTGCAATGGAGCAGGGACCCTGGTGGCAGTTTCCAGGGCTAAAAAGAGTACTTGTGGTCACTCACAGGCTAGGAGAGTAGTAAAAACACTTCTCTTTAGATCATACTATCTTGGAAGAACTGAAAACTTACAGGGCCCTAGAATTAACTGTGAAAACAGGCACAAAACAAAAACAAAGTGAACAGAGAAAAAGGAAAAGGACCCACATGTACAAAAACATTTGTAGCGGCTCCTTTTGTGGTGGCAAAAAGTTGAAAATTGAGAGAATGCGATCGACTGGGGAATGGCTAACCAAGTTTTGCTATGTAATTGTGATAGAATACTATTGTACTATAAGAAATGATGATCAGGATGCTCTTAGAAAAACCTGGAAAGACTTAAATGAAATAATGATAAGTGAAATGAGCAGAACCAGAGGAACGTTGTACATAGTAACAGCAATGTCGTATGATCATATATGAATGATTTAGCTATTCTCGGCAGTACAGTGATTCAAGACAATCCCAAAGGATTAACAATGAAAAATGCTATCAATTTCCAGAGAAGGAACTGTTGGAGACTGAATGCAGAGTGAAGCATTTTTTTAAACTTGATTTTTCATGGGGCTTTTTTTGGTCTGCGTTTTCTTTCACAACATGACTAACTTGGAAATATGTTCTGCATGACTGCACATGTATAACTACATCAAATTGCTTGCCTTCTCAATGAGGAGGGAAAGAAGGGAGCTTAAAAATGTTTAAAGCAAATGTTAAAAATTATTTTTACATGTAATTGGGAAAAAATAAAGTAATAATTAATTTTTTTTTAAAAAGGAAGAAATGGAAGTAGGGCTTCAGTATGAAAAAGAGAGAAGAGGGCCTCAACACTATAGAGATGAATCTTAACCTGAGAGGCACCCTAGGGTAGTGGACTGAAAGCCAGCCTCAAAGCCAGAAGGACCTGGATTCAACATCCAACCGGACAATAGTGACTGCATGACCTTGAGCAAGTTACTTAACTTTTTGGTGTCCTAGGCAACTCACTAAGATTATGTATTTCAGAGAAGGTGCCAACCTGCTTTGGAAGAAGGCGCCACCTCACCTGGGAGTTCCCTACATCAATGAAATCACAGCTCGAGTCTCTATCCCTTGGAAGCTTTAGAGGAAGCAGTTTGAGGGTAATAATGAAGTCAGAAGCCTGGGCTGAGATCTAAGGGAACAGCTGCTTGTCCTCAAAGGAATGATCAGTGAATCCAAAGACTCTGCCAGTTGAAAGATCATCCCAGGAAGCGTGGAGGAAGAAGAGATGAGTAGCATTGGTTGATAACTTCCTGCTGAAGAGAAGTGAGGAATCTAGAACCTGATAATGGGAGAGGGGAGATGGAGAGACGGAGAGAAGATATATATGTGTGTGTGTGTGTGTGTGTGTGTGTGTGTGTGTGTATGTATAAATATATACACATACGTACACATGTGCTGGTTTTTTGAACTTTGTAAGGACCTCCTAAGACTTGTCCAACAAGAAGAATATTATGCACTTCTGGTGATTTATATGGACAGTGATGGTAGTGCCAGGAGGACTCTAGAAGGGATGGGAAAGAGTGCAAAAGTTTGAGCAAGAAGATGGCACAGATGGTCAAAAGTGACTACATCTTAGAATTCATGATAGAAGAGGAGAGGAGAGCTTGGTATGGTCTGAGATACACCTTCGATTTAGGAAAAATAGATTTCACAGTTTCCAAGAAAAGATAGGTAGGATCACATGACCTAAACTCCTATAAGGGAAGTTAATTCAAGAAGGATTTACAATTACAAATAAATACAGATGGAATGTCATGTATAGGGCACAGTAAGAGAGTCAATTTGGCTAGAAAGTAGAGTGTGTCAAGTGTAATAATAAGCCTGGAAAGGGAGTCAGCCAGCTTGTTAAAGGTATACCAGAGGAGCTGTTATTTTATTTGTATTTACTTATTTGTGTACACATTGTTTTCCCCAAATGAATGTGAGTGGCTACTAGTCTGTTTTTCTCTTAGTGCCTCCACAATCCAGTATACTGCCTGTCAGTTTGCAGCTGCTTAATAGACATTATTGACTGTTGAGATTGCTTGGCCTCAAAACAAAACTGAGAATTGATTGGCAGATGTTAATAAGGGGGAAGATTTCAATTCAATATAAGGAAAAACATAACATTAGAGTTGACTTCTCCTCATCAGTTCTCTTCCCTTCCCCAAATGGAAAGGGCTGCCTCAGTAGTTAGTAAGTTCTTTCTCCCTCGAGGTTGCTAAGTGGTAACTCGTGGTAAAAGGGATTCCTGCTTTAAACCGGAATCAAATTTGGTAACCTGAGCCTTTTCTTATGCCTTTTCCACATGAATACATAGATAGATTCATAGATTTCAATAGCATGGGGATCTCCCTTCAACACCAACAGGTCTCAACCTATCCATGACTTAGCAGTTAAGTTCTAGGGAGGTTCCTGAGGTCCTCAAAGGCTCAGTGACTTGCCTAGGGACACACAGCTATTCCTTGTCCGAGAAAGGATTTGAAAAGCAGTGCAAT